ACTCATAAAAGCAACCCAACCTTTTGAAAGGTTAAGCATCGACTTTAAAGGACCTCTACCGTCAGCTAGCCGCAATCACTATCTGCTCACGCTGATCGATGAATATTCTCGATTCCCCTTTGCATTCGCCTGCCCCGACATGTCGTCTCAAACGGTAATGAATTGCCTTTGCCAACTGTTTTCGATTTTCGGTATGCCTTCTTACATACATACCGACAGAGGCGCTGCTTTCATGTCTACCGAATTACGGGCATTTCTTCTGGAGAAAGGCGTAGCAACCAGTCGTACTACCTCATACAATCCTCAAGCCAATGGGCAGGTCGAGCGCCTCAATGGAACACTTTGGCGTGCCATCACTCTAGCATTAAGATCACGGGGCCTACCAACGGCACAATGGGAGTCTGTTCTACTCGACGCCTTGCATTCCATCAGATCTTTGCTCTGTACTGCAACGAACGCCACGCCACACGAACGACTGTTTACCTATAACCGAAGATCGACATCTGGGACAACTCTTCCTACTTGGCTCACTGTACCAGGACCAGTACTTCTCCGGCGGAGTGTTCGTCAGTCCAAATTCGATCCCCTGGTTGAAGAGGTGGAGCTATTGAATTGTAACCCGCAATTCGCTCACGTTCGCTTCGGTAATGGACGTGAAGATACAGTTGCTCTTCATCATCTGGCACCCAAAGGCGAAGATATAGATCAAGTTGAAAATTCAATACCGGAGGGCGACGCAATTCCTGAGCAACAAGTAAATGGGGATGCGACCACTGATCCTAATATTCTTCGTGAAGAAAATACAACTGAAACGAACAACGGGCGTATTCTTTTGGAAAAACAACAACGTGTACGGCCTTACAATTTGCGTACCAGAGAAGCGTGACATAATGGCTCATTCCTTTTCAAGCCGCAGTGAATGTTGTGAACTTTTCTTATAATACGTATCTAATCATATTCATATCTCTACTGCTATTAACACTCTTTTTCCCCTTTATACGTTTAAGCCATTCCGGCTTCATTGTAAAATGAATAAAGCCTGAATTCTTGGTTCGTTCGTCTTTTCAAGATTCAAGCATCACTCATCGTTCTAAGACTCAGTCACCTTCGTAACAGTTTGATTGTTTTTTTTTTCAAAAAAGTCATTTGTTGCTATTTTGTTTGCACACAATGTGTGTATCAAATTCTACTGATATTAAAACACAGTTTACTGAAAAATGACAATAACAATCCTCATTATAGTTGACTGATTATGTATTTATTATCAAAATCGTAGCCTCTTATCTTTATGTGTTTGTGTGTATGTGTTCTGGTTTGCTCGCATTTTGACTATCTCTATCTACCCTGTTCTCTAGTCCGTTGATGACGTAGATAAAATAAATTTAAATACATTTTATTCAAAACAAAATATTAAGAACGCTGTAAAATGATTTTCTTTTCTAGAGTAAGTAGTATATCGGTTGTCGGCTTCTACCAACTAACTGTTCTCATAAAACCTATTTTAATAGGATTTTTATTGCTCACCAGCATTAGGGTCTAATTCATCGCATATATTAAGCTATTTTAAAGCTCTTATCCTTTCTGAATGACTATTGGATTATTAATTTCTATGTTATTTTCATCTTTTAATTATTATCCAATGAGTGAACTACACATATGTATTTATATTCTACCTGTCTAATATGCGCGGACAGTCACAGAGTAATAGCTGCTATACGTATATTATGCAAAGTGTTCCAATTTCGTAGTGGAATAGAACAAAATGATTCCGCCTACGCGATTATTTTGTCTTCATTTTAGTATTCACATGTGTTGTGCACAGGCTAAAAGTAAAAGAAACTGCTTAGTCATCATTGTTCGTCATTATAAATTAACTTAGCAATGACCTTGATTAGTTTTTATCAAGGTTACAAGCTACTGCTTAAAATTGATACACGCCTCTCTGGTTGGTGATTTTTTATTGACAATGTAGATTGACTGCGTTGACCTGCGTTTCAACGTGTTACCCACCCGTTCACATTTTACTCTACTATAGCAGCAATTGAAGGCATAAAAATAAAAATGCACTTTGATACATCTCTGAGTTAGATATTATGGTAACGAACTACCAGTAAAGGTATATTGTTTATCGTACTTTTGTCAGACTTTAGGAAAGAAGCCCAAATTACAATTCGGATAGCGTTAATGAAAGGAGTTTATCTGAAAAAAGTGACGTATTTACAGAATAAATATTAAGCAATCTGATTATAGGGGTATGATACTCGCTTTGGGTGCGAGTGGTCACGGGTTCGTATCCCGGTTGGGCCCGTGCTTTTGTGCGTCGGTGGCACAGCGGTCAGGACGCTCGCCGACCATGAACATGGTCCGGGGTTCAATCCCCGGCCGACGCACTCCTTTACCTCGCTGAGCCAGAAATAATGCTGGTAAAGAGGAAAGGTTGGGCATGAGGCTAGCAACCCCATCCTGTAAAAATAAACAGTGCTACAGAAACTTCAAGCCACTAGCTTGAAGCCCTATGTTCCACTGGGAATGTGAAGGAAAAAATTAAATCTGACCATACGTTTCTCGTTGTTTTACTTTTTGTCACAAAATAATGTGCATAGGAAATCTTCCTCCTTATAGTATGTTAATTGAACCAAGCTTTTCTCTAGACATACAGCACAAAACTCTGAAGCTGTTAACGATAAAAAAATGACGATCTCGAGTGGGGTCTGAACCCCCCCCCAATATTTGACTGATGTTCTACCGTTTAGAAGCCCTCGAATAAGGCTAAACTACTCAGTGCTCTTTAGTTTTTGTTTGACTTTCTAAAGCTGGCTTCGGTTCTCTGATCGAATATGGATTAGATGCCAGCTGGCGGCTAATTTGTGTACATGAATTGAGTTGTGAACTAAATAGTTTAGTAGCTGTGTGACAGCAATATAATACATGGCTTTTCCCAAGGTTGTTGGCGCGGTACGTCTTGCTGATGAATGCCGACAAGACTAAAACATACATTAAGCAGGCTCCTCCATAATTAATTTATTAATCCCTAACATCGAATTTTTGGCAGCCTGGAATAGTTGCTTAGATTATTATTCCCCTGAATTCAGAAGCACATCACCATTTCTCACTGCGTTGTGTGCGGTCTTCTTTAGCTGACTCCACAATTACTGCCCATAAGCTTTCATCTCTCCACACAACTCAATGTAGTCGTTAGCACTTATTGTTTCCTGCCGGCGGTGTTCTACTTGAGAGCGTGGCGTCTGATCTTACTGAAAAATCTTGGTTGGTTAGTTAATAAATTCCTTGTTTTTAATCCTTTCTGACCAGCCATCTGATCTTTAGTATGGAATATTAAAGACGACAGACACCTGAAGAATATTTTACTAACATGTATCCTCTATAATAAATCTGCCTATTGCAATGATACTCGTCGAGTCTCTTTTTCGTTGACTTGAAAAAGGGCCCCTGCGAAAATGCTATGATCTGTGTGTACCACCATATTAGATGGCTGATTGTGCAATTAGTGTCGATTAGATTACTTACGTATCTGTTAATAGTGTGTCTATACCCCTGGTCCTATACTGTTTCCTATTGAAGTGTCGGTGGCACAGTGGTTAGGACTCTCACCGACCATTCACGTGGTCCGGGGTTCGATCCCCTGCCGACGCATACCTAATACCTATGGCAGACTGCAAAATTTGGACTACCGATATCATAAGTTGAAAATGCCATACTTGTACCAAAAATACGGTGTGGAATCAAGCTGTAATCAAAAAAAAAATCGATTTAATTTAAATGAAAAAATAGATCAAATGAAATAAACGAATAATAAAGAAATTAAGAGTAAGGAGAATAATAACTGACACTATTCTTAGTAATAATAGCCAGATAAAAATTACAAAGACAGGCTGTCACTAAGATTATTGTTAACGCTCATCATCCTCACTCTCAAATCTTTTATTGTTTCTTTATGTTATTTGATCTTTCGTTTTTTATATCACTTGAATTGACAGATGAAAGTTTGATCAGATTGTTCAAAATGTACTGCGCAAATACCACATCTTTTTCAGATGATAAACTCCATATTTTAGTAGCACTATCTATCCAAAAATTTATTAAAGGGACTAACTGTTATAAATTGCATTTCATACGGGACAATTACATGCTATGTGGGAGGATGAAAATCACCGGTAAATATGTGGATGAAGTTAAAATTATCCTAATTCCCACTGGAAGTTGTAAGTGTGGTGTATAGACTACTGCTTTTGAACAAAATTTAAATCAATTAACGGGCCTGTGAAGCTCTATCGATTCAGATGATTAAAACACACGTGTTACGTATCCCGAGCCATTGTCTTCCTCGTTGTGCAATCTTAGGTGACAGGTTGGAGAAGAGTTCATGAAGTCTTTGACTGTTAATTTGAGCTACGTGTATAAACTGTTTGATTGGAATCCTCGAGACGCTAAGAACTAATGACTTGAGACTGTGAGTGGTATGATTTCAAATCATTCTCAGTGGCACAGATGTATTCACTCTTTGTAGTCGCCTAGATCTATTCAATGCTGATGTTCCTCTATGTAATTATTCTTTATCCCGTAGAATTATACCGATTATAGTTCTTTTGAAGTGGCAACTTGAATTGTCGCGCTTCTATGCAAAGCCCTACTTTGAAAATCGGTCACTCAGTTAGTAAGATATAGAAAGCAAAATATTCAGTTAAAGAATGAATAATTGATTGAGTAACTATTATCCTATGCAAAGCTTTGCACTGGGCGCTCCAGTCCCCTTGGTTTTCAATGCACCATCAGAAGTATAACTTTTAGAGGTAATCAGAAGGTGAATTTTGATTAACTATGTATTAAGCTATATATTGTTAAAGCAGTTACTGGTGCTAACACTAATCGTAAGATAATTTTTGTTAAAATCTAATTGTAAACTTTTTTTCATATGCATATTACCAGCTTAAATGAATCTAAGTATTGTCGACTAACAAAATAATTTCTTTTTGCTTTAGAAATTAATCATTTAGAACAATCCGCTCGATTAGGCGGAAAAGATGGTTATACATCACCTGAACTTTTAAGTGGATCTGCTGTTGGTCCAGTCGCAGAACTGGCTCAGTTAGCTGCTACACCTTGGTCACAATTATTGGATACAAATCGAGCAAGACAACGTGAATTATTGTCAGAATGTGAACGACACAAAATAGCTATTGATCAAGTAGATAATCATCTAGCGAAAACAAAGTACGTTAACAAGCACTGAATCTATATGAGATACTTTTTTTCCTTCTAATTCCTCTACGTTCTTAGTGGAACATAGGGCTTGAAGTTTCGATAGCAGTGGTGTTTATTTTTTACGGGATGGGGTTGCTAGTCTCATGTCCAACCTACCCTCTTTACCAGTCTTATTACTGTCTCAGCGAGGTTTAGGTGTGCGTCGGTGGTCGGGGATCAAACCCCCGACCACGTGGGTGGTTGGCGATCATTCTACCGCTGTGCCACCGACGCATATGAGATACTCATTGATGAATATAGGTGCTTAATTTACTAATCGCTTTAGGTGTTCAGTTCCCCTATTAGTGTTTTGAATTCTTGACAATACTATTGCACTAAAGGGTAATGAATACCAATAGGATGTGCAGTGTCTGATGGTTAGATATTAACAGAAAGCAGTCAGTTGGTAAAAACCCTTAAAATTGGATTTTGTTTTCGTCAGTATTCATCAACATGATAAATAATAATAATAATAGCGTTATTCTAGGTAAGTTATCCACATAACATACAAAATTCTCAGCGTAATTTATTGTACATTATCTTCACTTTGACCAGGATATTCACGTAAAATAGTAACCCATAGTTACATCACGTGATGCAATACTATTCGATCTGTAACATAAACCAATCCGTTATGATATTTTCCCTCAAGAAGTGGACAGTGGTAGGCTAAAGGTCAAATAAAGATATACCTAAGTACAAGTATAAATTTTGGGTACTGTGGTAGAGTATAACTCCATTATGGATAAGATCTTATTTTGATAAATCACACAGTGTTGTACAGTAACATTAACTGATGACGTTTCGAGCACAAATTATTGCCACTCATAATCATATCAAGTTACTCACACAACATTTTTCCTTCATTTATATACATGTGTGGAATTGACTAGATATTGGAATAAAAATCAATATAGGGTAATGTACATTCAGAAATAGTAATATGGTGTTGTTGATTAATTACAATCAGATGGGAAATAAGACGATTGTTTTTATAGTCATAATAAGTAACTTGTCAGCATGTTGTGATGTGCTTGAATTGCAATAGAATTTTGAGATTATTTATTGTCCTCTTCTGATTTGACTGGCGGTAATAATATCTTCCATAGTTCTGGTGTTTGCATTGAGTCATTTCTGTTGCATGTGTTGATTGTAGACTCAATGAACCAATATTCGGTAAGCAATCTCTCTCTCCACCTACATAGATTACTTTTTAGAATCTTAACCCTCTCCCACCATGCTATTGTGTGGTTGTGTGTTAATGCATGCATGCAGTGCAATCGCTGAGCTTTTTTCTAAATTACTTATCCCCACGGGTGGGGTCAACCATTCTTACCTTAGCTAAATTCTTATGTTCAGACAATCTGATTACAACCGATCTACTAGTTTGACCTATATAGTTGACCTCACAGTCATTGCAGGGTATTGTGTGAATTATATTATTTTGCTTAATTGGGTCTACAAAGAGGGGAGGTTGGGCATGAGGCTAGCAACCCCATCTCGTAAAAATAAATACCACTGCTACCGAAACTGCAAACCTCTAGCTCGAAGCCCTATGTTCCACTGGGAACGCCATGGAATAAAATAAAATGGGTCGTCATGTTAAATTCAGGACGCCTGTCGTATGGTGTTTGGATGTCTTAGTCGAATCTAAGATAGTGCAAAAACTGAGCAGAGTCATACAAGTTGTGTATTTTTGATATGTTGAAATTTTGCCAATCTAACTATCCCAATCAATAGAAAAGAAAAATCGGAGACTCATGAAGAAATTTAAATCATTTCACTTTATCCTAAATACTGCGCTGAAGATGTCGTCCAGAAAGACGATGAAAGCTCCGCAATTAAACCAAGGAGCTCAGAGAACACTATCAATTGCAAATCATCCACCTGAGTTACAAATCTTTTCTATTAATTCTCGCTTACTTGTACATTAATGTTTTATCATTTCTTTATTGGGATGAGAATAATAATAATAATAAACTGTGATTATTTTTTATTCAATCAATTTAAATGATGAACAGGATGAATTTATCTCAATTGGAGAATCAAATCAGTCAAGAATTAAATCAACTACTCAATGAACTAGAAGGATATAATCAACACAGGCGAGTACTCTTAAAATCGGCTAACAGTTCACATTCTCGTTCAACAAGAACTGTAAACATGTCGGATACAAGTGATGGTGTTGCTGTATGATGATGTACATATGTGTGATGGGTTTTTCCTGCAGTTTCTGTTTATAAACATTATTATTATTATCATGTATTAATTGCGCAATGACTTCAAATGCACTAATATCAGCTTTTTATTTTATCAATAAATTCTTACTTAAAATAATACCTAAGTACGATTGTTCTAATGTGATGACTCATCCATATATAGACAGACTTACCAACTTCAAAGATTACGACTCACTTGTTCAACATAAATATTGTGTACACTATTATTTTAGGCATTTTACGCGCGAACTAGTAACTTAAAAATGTGAAAGAGTAATCTTAAAAAATACTTGTGCACCACACCAATAATAGATTCGTCTGTGGAAGATATTGCGCTAACAATAATCTCCAAACTACTGAGCAGAACTTGCTTGCCGACTAGCGTGTTCAGTTGCTCAATTATTCTACAATGTTTCAAGACTACAAAGTTTTTTTCTTAACTACCTGCAAATTGTAATCAGCAAATCGATGAACGATATTATCATGTATAAGAAGAAAACAAAACACACTGATTATATTCTGAGAAAAGATGATGTTCAACGTGTAATTCCTCTTTCTCTGAAATGACGCACAAGGCAGTTTTTTAACAGCTCAAAATCATAAAACACCCATTTTAGACAGTGTTCATGATTTGCTGTTAAGTGTTAGCTTCTATGCCTTGGAGCGTAATTCAGAGACTTAGGAGTTCACGGTATTGTTTACAACATGGAGTTATGTTTTTTTTAAATTTGACCAAGAATGCTATTATTAAGAAGTTAAGTAAATTGCAAAAGGAAAATCTTACCGCGTAATTTTCATCCTGATGTGTGATCTTCGTACCGATCGTATCTACTATTATTATTACTATTCCCTTATGTTCCCAGTGGAATATACGACTTCAGCAGCTCGCTTCCATTTCATCCTGTTCTCAACAATCACCTTTAGTTGGCTTCGCGATTGCCCATAACCTCTCATTTGCTGCTCACACAATCTCCTCCATGTCACTCCCCGTTTCCCATTCGGGTTGCCCTCGAGGGCTTGGCATCCGATGATACTCAATGGTTTTCTCAGCATATGTCTCATCCATCTCCATTTTATTCGGCAATAGGTTCTGAGTTGGTTAGTTCCCAGAGTTCCTTGTTGCTGATCGTTTTCGGCCCTCTGATATTCACTGCCGAGCTTGGGCATCTGTTGATAAAAGTCTGGAGCCTGTTTGAAATGCTTTTGGTAACATGCAAACTCTCTGAACCATACAGAAGCGTTGACTTGACAGCAGTGTTGGAAATCCGAATCTTACTCTTACGCTTAGTGTAGCAGATTCCCTAACTGATTTCAGATCAATGAAGATCCTACTTACCTTTCCAATTCTGGCTTTGATATCTCCATCCATACCGCCTGTAGTTGAAACGATTTTGTGTAGATAAGTTAGAGAAATCACTTCCTTCAAATTCCTCGCAATGATGGTGATAGGTGCTTGTTGTTTTTGATTAGGTAGTGTCTCCACCCCCTTTGTCTTCTCTATGGTCACTTGAATTTCCGTCATCCCTGCCTCTTCTGCCGCCAACTTGTTGGTTATCACACCTGTAGATCTCCGAGTTCATGTGACATAAAACATGAATTGTCCGCCAAGTCCAAATATTGTCGAATCTTATCGACCCACCGTATTTCTATCTTCCCGCTCCTCATAGCCTGCCTCATGATCCATTCCACCACAATTAGAGATACTAGGCGGCCTCATTTTATCCCTGTGTTCATTACAAAGACATCGTGTACTGTTTTGTCTCCACTCATAGCGTATGGGCTTACTTACTTACTGATTCTTGTTTTTCTCTGCCTTACAACACTTCAATCCACCCATAATCAAACTCATATATGTATATTTTCAACGCCTTTTTTCCACGTGACCATTCGACTATATCACAAATTTCTATTTAAATCTTAAAAAATAAATAAAATAAAAGAATAATGCAGTTGAATTTATGTTAAAGAAAGAAAGAAAAAAGAATTTACCATTCGCTTTTAAAAGTAGTTTATAACTTCAACGTCATATCTATAAAAGTTAATAAAAATTTATAAATTCTTGTTTGTTAGAGAAAACTGTTTATCTAGTTTTTAAAATTTACAATGTTGAGAGAATAAACAACAGATTCTGTGCAGCATAAAATATTAACTGGGGATCATTCTGTTTTGTTTAAGTTATTATCACTCATCAAATATCATAAAATTGTTCTATTCGAATAGTTTATTTATTTTATTTAAACGCAGAAAAAACTTGGTACAAGATGCGCCACACTCATTCGTTGTGTGAGGGCTGAGATACTGCCCAGGCGCCCAGACCGAAGCAGGTGGTTTTCTTAAGGGACCACCCCCCGAGCCTTTGACTTGGAGTCTAATCCGCTAGGCAGCGGAGCAGTGTCAGGAGCTACATTCCCATGGTTTCCGGTGACCCATATAGGTTCATACGCCATTTGATCCGATTGGATTCTGGAGCCTATGTACCCCATGGTAACCGCTTTTAGTCTAACCACCATCCAAACAACCTTCCTGACATGGTAGGACCTGCAGGAACATGAGTCCCAGCCAGTTAAGTTTGTTGCGTCACTGCGGTATTCAAGCCCGACCATGGCAAGGTAGCAGCTGTCGGCCGGGTCTATTCGAATAGAAAGATGACGTTAGGAGTATAGAAGGGAATAAATGAAAGGTAGCACTATTGAGTTAAGCTATGCTTCTCATCTTTTGATGCCTCTAAATGTAAACTCCCCATCTATCGTATGAAGGTGGTAGTAAGTGAAATTAAGTCTTTATTGCTTTCACCTCCATCATCTTGTTCAAGATCCTCGACGGCATATGAGGTGGTGACTGCATAACACTGTGTGATTTCTTCAGGAAAAGCAATGAAGTTATTTTTAAATCATCAACTAGATCTTGAAAACTATTCTTCGTCTATTTATGACAACTTTCTAAATACTTGGATTATATTTAACAACAGTGTAGTAGTTTAATAACGTTTATTACTCAAGTTCTCTCAAGATATTTGTAATATTCGTATTATAGATGTTTGTTGCAGGAATAAAAGAATAGTGCCATTGAAAATCACCAGCTTTGTGGAAAAGTAATCCCAGCAAAGCCTGAATGAATAGGTAAATAATCTTTTTTCTATTAACTGGATAATTTATTCGGAACAAGTAATAATAACAACCTAAAAGAGGAACCTATTTTTTACTGATGAGCAATGCTAACGTTAAATAGAAGTGTGCATATTCCATGGTATGACTTTTTTTCTCCTAACCAAACCCCCTTCTTAAACTTGAGATTCAGCGTGTTACACGCTAGAAGACTACCAATAATTGAAATCCTCGTCATGGTGTTTGTTAGCGACACATTATTCCGTGGGAGTATTTCAGAAGTAATCATGTAGTGTGTCGGGCTTACTTAAGACTTTCATTCAAAAGGAAATGTGATGCTATGCTGGCAAATAAGAATTCTCAAGTCTGGCTATAGGATTTCATCATGAGCTGACATTGGTTAGAGAACCATTGGAGAACCTGGAGGTACTGGACAGCTGTTTCGTCAAACCGGTTCGGGACTTCATCAGTAAGCACCCACCACAGTGGTTGGAACGCGGGACCTTCTGGTTACAAGGTGAGCTAGCTCATAGATCATTAATCCACTGGAAGCCGATCCAATGGCCAGTTGTGAATCCTAACTTCTGCCAACTCAAATCTACATTTTTCTCCTGATTCATTACATTAAGGTTTCAGATAGGAGTGAAATATTTCGTGTTACTAAACAGTTGGAGAACTAAGGCTGGCACATGTGAAGTAATTCAGTATGAATTTTTAGAAAAAAACACCTTGTAGGTCAGGAGCGGCATGGCATCCCGTACTTACGAAAATCAGTATATTGTATTATAGATGTTTATGTAATTCTCAAAAGATAATAATAAAAAAGATTTAGAACTCACCAATAGAAACACTGATGAAGAAGGCCAGTTAAATTTCCTAAAAACGTTAAGACATTTGAAACGAAATTTCCACTTCAGTTAGTATCTACCAAAAGGAACAATGAATAACACAGTTCTTAATAATTAAATTAATAAGAAGCCCGGATAAAGGGTTGGTTTGAGACTCCTCACCGAAATTAACAAGTAGCTAAAGCTCCAAATAAAATACCAAAATCAACAGTGACAGACAACGCCTCTTTCCACACGGCATATGCCACCTTAGGTTGTCACTTTTATTGCCTGACTACACTGGCAATTTATTTTCCAAGATAATAATAATAATTTGCTCTATTCCAAAAACAGTACTAATGATACAGCAAGGAATTTTCAGCATTCAGTACAATATTGCATCTAATTTACTCAAAAACGACAAAAAAAATTGAAAATACACATTACATAATAGTAATAAAGCGATTGTTATAGCAGCTACATAGCAACATACTGTATGCCATACGGAGAAAAATATGCATAAAGTAAAAAATTGTAGTAATAATAGTAATACCAACTAAAATAAAATAGCAGAGTAATAATTAAACGATAGAAAGTGTGACACCATAAAATACAGAAAGATGAACGATGAAAGGGTCGATTCACTGTGCTAATTACATAGTAACTTGTAAGTTTCACGTCTAACAGAGTCTTCGTCACATAAAGTACGGGCTAAATAGGGTATTGTAGAATTTCTATACTTAGTGGTACGAGCATATACTTTTTATATTGACTTCTCGTCCTACCTGATGAGATACAAGGGGACAGGTGTGAGTAAAGGGGGTACAGAGGGTCTGACAGTATAGCCTTTGCCCATTTCGTACAGGAATTTATATGCCTCTCGACTATAGTATTAGCGAGTTCATGCAGTGGCAGACCACAAGCTCTACTCACAGCATTTAATACTCTTCGTAATATGATATAATCTTTTTTGAGAAGCCCAGGAAAGATTAATGGAGAGCCATAGAGTACAATAGGTAAAATACAGGAGTTTAAAAATTGCAAAACTAAAGGTTGGTTGATACCTGATTGTCTTAACTTTTTAATGTAGAAGGTAAGACGAAACATTTTCTTAGAGATAGATAAGATGTGTGATGACCATGAAAGGTCAGAGGAAAGAACTAATCCAAGGTATTTAATGCTTGATTTGGTTTCAATTTCCGTGCCATCTATGCTACAGGGATCATGCGAGCTAACTAGTTCAAGTAAGTCACGTCGATGCTTGAAAGTAAAGTCAAGTGCCTGACATTTGGAAGGATTTAATATAAGACCATTTGACTTGGACCACTTGTTGATGTCCAACAGAAAGCTATTAAGTTTGGAGCTGTCAGACTCGGAAGTGATAGGCAGTGATACAGTCAGATCATCTGCATATTTGACAAAGTTAGTTTCGTTTGAATGAGGCAGGTCATGTAGGAAGAAAGAAAAAAGAAAAGGAGAGAGGACAGCACCTTGTGGAACACCGGATTTTGTAAGCGAGGTAGAAGAAGATTTGCCGTTATATACAGTATACTGCATTCTATCAGAAAAATAGGAATGCAACCAACTCTTAGCCCAGGATCCTGTTTGTGTCAACGATAGCTTATTTAACAAAAGGCCCCTAGGTACAGAGTCAAAAGCAGATGTGTAGTCTAAGAAAGCACTACGAACATATTTAGCACCTTTGTCTAAACAAGAGACAACATTGTGATATAAGATGACCGCAGCATCCAAGGTACTTCTGCCATGTTTGTATGCAAATTGTTTAGGATCATTAAAAGGTTTCGAAGCGGGTTCAAGACGAAGTAAAAGTAATTTTTCCATCAATTTTAAAAAGGGGGAAGTAATTGCAATAGGCCGAAATTTAATATCAGTACCAGAAGATGGTTTTGGTATAGGGATAATTTTAGTGTTTTTCCATGCAAAAGGTAGAACGTTACCGGAAAAAGAAGCATTAAAAATGTTAGTAAGAGGATAACACAAAATATCAGCACAATTCCTGAGGACAATGGCAGGTATGCCGTCAGGACGAAGGCTTAAGAGACCGGAGACATTTAAGCACATCAAGGGTATTAAAACCACTAAAGTTATTGTCAATGTGATTTGTATCATTTGGAAGGGTATCAACAGAAGAGCGTATGAAAGATTTATTAAGAGTGTCAACATTAAGAGATGGAACAGAAATACATCGCTTACCGTTAGTAATTTCTTTGAACATCAAAATTTCGTTACTGACATCCTCAGGGAATTCATATGATTCTTCTAAACTAAAATAAACCTAATAATGGTGAAATCAGAATAAATACAAGGAGACTTTTATCGCTACTGTGATATAAAGTTGAACTACACACATACGTGTTGTGCAAAAGCCAACAATATCATCTGCCCACCTCATGAATGTTATCATTAACATGAAATGAAAAAAAACATCTTATAAGGTAGTATTTTATGTTGCCAAAAGGAAATTAACTCCCCATCAATGTACTTATGCCTGGTTACTTATTAGTGTAAATTATTTTTGAATCTTTGAACTAGTCATCCAACATTCCTGAGTATTTGAAAAAAATAATAAGGTCCACTTGGTGCAACTGTCATATTCATTGGTGAAACAAGCAAGCCTATTTTGGTATATAATTAGCGTGTTGAATTCTGATTCTAATTAGTCTGTCAATCTTACCTTAAAGATTAAGAAGACAGAACTAATTACTCATTCAATTACTTGGATATAGTCTAGATGGCTTCACTGTTTTGGCTTAATTAAGCAAATGCAACCGAGTAGTAGGATTAATCTTTTAGCTGGAATACGATGAGAAGTCACAAGATTTATCTTTCAAATCAATTTTCGTTAGGATGTTAAGGCTACAGAAAAGCATGAAACTTTATATCTAAACATACTGCGTGACATTACAGAAAAACAAAGAAAAGAAAATGGTATTTAGGTGACACGGAATAAAACAACATGATCCTCAGGTATTCTAAAGATTCACCCTTTACTGCCAAAACGTCTTATAGGATTAAAAGGATAAACAGTTCCGCGAAGAGCCTTTTTTCGACGAATTCACGTACTTAGCTGTACAATCTCAATTATATATAATTATTTTTGTGTGTGTACATTAGGTTTGTCTCATGCCGCTCATTGTTCTTCAACAACTCTAAAGATAAATTATCTCATTTGACCAGTTCTATATGTATCTACCAATTTACTTGCTCATGTGCAGCGAGATATATAGGTTGT